CGGCTGGCGACCCCCAGGGGGAGGGCCTTCTCTGTGGGTGCCCCCACCCTCTGGAACGAGCTACCCCCCGAGATCCGGACAATCCCGGATCTCCTAACCTTCCGCCGCGCCCTCAAGACATGGCTCTTTCAGCAAGCGGGACTGACCTAGGGTGAATTTTAAATAGGGATAATTTTTAATGATTTTAATAATGTCACAGTTACAAATATTTGGTTTTAATTGGCTTTTATAGGGGAAATGTTGTGTGTGTTGTTTGTATTGTGTTATTTTAATATGCTGTGAGCCGCCCTGAGTCCCGTGGGGAGAAGGGCGGCATATAAATTATGAAAAATAAATAAATAAAATAAAATAAATATAATTAATAAAGGTCAGAGGGGTTTTCTTTCTCCCCTCAGGAGCAGCAAATGGTTTACATGGTAAAGTCTTTGGAGTTCTTTGAGACAAAAGAACATTTTACTCTTTTAATTGAAACCTGATGACAAATGTCTTTTATATGGTATTGAACAAGCATGCCAGTTGTCACTACAGTGCAATGTACAACATCAGGAGTTTGGACATGAATCTCCCTTGGAGGCTTTTATTTCTTCTTTATGCTTCCAGATCTTTATACACTACATGTGAATGATGTGATCTTTAACATCAATGGCTTAATGAAATCCTGGCTCAGGAGGTTAGGAGTTACGTCCACATGAAAAACAGAAAGGCATTCTTATTGATGTATCCACGGAGGACCCTCTTGCTACCACTGAGCAGAGGAAAAGCAGAACAAAAACATTTTGAAATGTTATTGATCTTAGGTATCCGTGAGGTTACCAATCGTTATTTCTGTTTCCCATTGCCTGGGCTTTTAAATTTTGCAGAGAACAGAAGGCCTGTGATAGAAACGACCAACTGAATAAATTCACTCATTTTCCTCCACTATCCAACTACAGCGTTTTTGTCACTGGAAAATTGCTTCACGCTGTATAAAGCAGAGATTGATATCATAACTGCAGAGTGGAAACCTCAAGCTTCTACTGAATACCTTTGGGGCCTTTAATAAGGGCACATCTTGGGTTAGTCTCGCCCCATATTCCATGGATCGCTTTGCACTTATGCAATAAGAAGTTTCAAAACCCAGGAAGAATGCAAGGGACCGCCAATTACTTTTTTCATGCTTTGAAGTAAGCTTGTTCTTTCCTACTTCCATTAAGGCTTTTTCTTAAACAAAAACACTGCAACAATAGAACTCCTAGGTTTACTAAGAAGCAAGTCCCATGTTTCTATTTGATTCTAAAGCAGTGGTTCTCAACCAGGTGTGCCATGGGCTTGTCTCCAGTGTGCTATAGGAATTTCATATTATTTTTTCAATATTTTTTGGCATTATGTATACCCTGTATAAACTGTATATTCAGTTCAGTGCAGATATTTTTAAATATTGCATAACTTTCCCTCAAACTATGTCTCTCGTGTTTAAAAATACATATATAAAATTAATAATTTTCTGGTGTGTCACTGAACTACTGCTACATTTGAATGTGTTTTCGAAATGCGGTTGAGACAAAAAAGTTGAGAACCAGAGAACTTCTGTGTTGCTGTTTAAATTACTAAATTAATTTTATTTGAAATCTCAAATTGCTCCAAACCAAGACAGCTTGATGTAATAGATGCCAGTCATAGGCAATATAGAAAAAAAAATATGCAATAGATCAGCTTTTGACTGGAGAAATTACAGGAAGACCTTGTTTACTGACTGCCTCATTTGACTGTTTTGAAGTTATGGTGATGATGAAAAAAATAACTTTGTGATAAAGATGTGCATTTATGGCCTTCACAGCATCTATTACTGTATGTTTGCCATTACAGTTAGTTTATATATATTGTCCTATGCCTGACCCATTTTTGCTTCCCCCACACAGTTTGTTTCAATAAACAATCTCTTCCTGAGCTATTTTTGTCTACATCACAGTGCTTCCACAAAAGATAACCACAAGTTAACAAGCTCAGCTCTGTAACCTTAATTCACTGGCTCCCAGCTGCTGCCTGTAATTGACAAGATTTCAATCACTTTCACATTTCTGCTTGGAGCTGCTAGTGCACTAGGCAAACAGTCAGTGCTAACTCATTTCTTTTTATGTGCATTCTCCACTGTGTGCTTGTTTACTCTTTTATAATCCCTTCCTTTCCAATGCATCTAAATACAAACATGAATTCTCTTCTTACTAATTATCCCAGTGCTGGGATGAGGATTCCAAAGGGTGGGAGAGCGAAAGGGCAGGGAAAAGGAAAGTTAAAGTATAGGCATGATCGCTTAGCAACTGATTTGCTAGTCCCAATTGTAATCACGGAACAATAATTCCCTGCATAGTCTAGAATGAAAGAGAGGCAAGACAATTTCATCCTTGTATTATCGCTATAAAATAGAGGTGCACATCCCAAGTTGCAAGACCATGTACATCCTTTCAAAAAAAACAACTTGGACTGGGTAGTCATCAAATTGTAATGATATTAATTTAAAAATTACTAAAAAATATTTTTTTATCCTGACTCCACTTCTTTTTAATCACAGCCCCCAAGCACCCCATTCAAAGCACAGCCACAACTTTCAAGCTGGAAAGAACATTACATACCCCAGACCAACTCATGTTGATTCAAGGACAAATCTGTGTGGCTTTCTTGGGAACAATTTGCCATTTGCCAGGGAAGTAATTTGCCATTACCTTCTTCTAGCATTGCCAGTTCCGGCTACATTTTTGAGGATTTTTTGATGATCTCCCATCCAAGGCAAACCTTTATGAGATCATCCAAGATCACCGGGTATTTAGACCTACCCATTGGTAACATTACAAATTAACTGCAGCAACAGATGGTTAGTCTCTGGTCCAGCACATAAAACTGGAACCTGACTTGCTCAAATGTTTACCGTATGAAAAATATTTTAATACAGATAATATTTCAGAAGATGAAATGAGCTGGATTTCTGAAATGCATGAGCAAGGGATAGCAGTAGAATCTGTTTTTATTAACCCAAAAGGCAGTTATATTTGAGCTAAGGAGGGTCCTGGACAGGAGGAAAATTAAGAACTTCCCTTTTGCACAGTCTTCATCCTAGGAAGATGTATTGCTGTTACTCTTCCATTGTATAGGAGGTCAGTTCAGGATTACACAAGACAAATAAAGACACATTTAACTTTATAAATAAAGACATGTTTAACTTTATTGGCCAGCAACATAAACCGCATTTAAGCATGGTTAATATATACATATATATTAAAAAAAGAAAAAAAAGAGCAGGCACAGCTTACCAGTCAGCATATCTGGTCTGCTTATACCATGGCACTATTTGATTCCCAGAAAGAAGGGGGAAAGAAAGCTAGCCAATGTGCGTGTACATTTCAGTAGTCAAACATCATTTCAAGCTATCATAGCAGTAGTTTAATTAATAACTCATTTCTCAAGGAACACACCATGTCGTATTCAGGAAATAATTCACCCCTAATTATAGAAATGAATTTCTGCCAATAATTTAAGACCTGTCAACCTTTACAATGAGAATAGCTTTCCCCCCTCCCTTCCTGTGTGAACATTTACAAAAGGAAGATTTGTCTTCTCATCTTCCCATTTGCTTTCTGAACATTCGTCTCTTGGACTCAAAACAACAACATGGAAGTTTCAGAACAGTGTGAGTTAATGTTAGGTACAGTATTTGCAGTAAAGAAAGAGATTTTAAAAAATACTTTTTTCCACCTTTCCTTTCTCTGAGAGAATGAATAGTGATTTTGCAGTGGGGTAGGGAATATACAAAGGTCCTGGCTGAAAAAAAAAAGTCTCAGATCAAGTGACTTCCCTTGTTGCCAATTCTGTCAAAAGAACCGATAAGGGAAGAGATGGGGAAAATGGAGAATGGTACTAACAGCTTCCAAATAAACCAAACAACAGTTTCCCTGCTAGGCTCCAAAGCATCACAGACCTTACAGGCAGTAGTCTGTTAACCAGGGATAGGCAATCTACCCCCTATGAATACTGTATGGACTGCATCTCCCCAAAAAACCCAACTGGCATGGCTAATGGCCAGGGGCTGTAGGAACCACAATCCGTAGCGAACACTTTAAAATGCACACTCAAGTGCCCATTGCTGTGGATGAGGGGCAAATGTGCATTAACTAAAAAACTTTATACTTGAAACCCAAAATGGGAAGGAGGAAGGGACAAGAAATGTTCTAGCAATGGCTATGCCAATTGGACCCCGAAGAACTTTAAAGGATAGGCATCTTCTCTAGGAATTCTCCATGTGGATGAATTCTTGGGAAATCTAATAAATCCAGTGGTGGGAGCCAGCGCCCGGTCAGCCTCCTCCACGGCAACAGATGGAGTATTACTATGGCTGCAAAGAGGCAGTGATCACTTTGCTGATCAATTTTTAAGGATCCCTTTTTAGAAAAGACACCACCTACTCAACATTTATTTTTCCTAATGAATCCTAATGAGCAAAGTTGTGGATCTCTTCCTATCGGGTCATACCTGGCTGGTAAATGAGACTTTCATATCAGTCTTCAAACTTGATAATATATTTTTCCCCAATGAAAAGAGATGTCATTCTGGAAATGGATCTAATTCTATGAAAAGTTACTACTGCATTCCACAAAGTGGGATTATTTCAACAGCCTTCCTTGAGCACGAAATCAGTTTTTGATATATTTTTTTAAAGTTGAAAATTTCTAATTATGTGAACAAAATAATGTCTTTCAACACTTGGTTTGAGAAACACAAAAGAATATTTTTCTCCAGGACAAAAATATTCCTCGAAGGGGGAAAAAATGTGCAGGGAACCTTATTCATCCATCTCTGGGTAGCATCCTGTAGGAGATCAGGAGGAAAATTTTCCCAGTAGAAGTATCTATTGACAGATAGAGCTATTCTCTTGGGTAAGATGTCATGAAAACTTCCAGAAAGACATTATATTTAGGAAAAGGAAGAAAGCATCTACTGCATGCACACAATGCTCAGTTGTCATATCTCAGAGCTCAAAGACCTTGATTGATGGTTTGGGAGAAAGGTACCATGTCCTTGGGACCATGTCCTTGGGAGGTACCATGTCCTTGGGAGCTCTGAGGTACCATGTCCTTGGGAGCTCTGAGGAACTCTTTCAGATTGTGTGCTTGTAAAGAATTCAACCAGATTGCATTCTACAGCTCCATTATGTTGGAGTGGGGGGAAAAAATAACTTAGCTGAGCATTGAATTCCCTCCTTACTGACTCAAGGAGGACTATTATTTCTGGCAGAGACACTGGGTGAACCTACAGTGATGTTCCTTGAAGCAGCAAAGTCCTGGAAAGGTTGATAGTTCTGTGCTGCTGTAGAAAAGATCAGGGTGATGGGCTGGAACGTGAAGGAATTGAACAGGTGGGCAATCCATGAGCTCTTAGTAAGGCTCTAACTTCAAGCTATTATACAGACAGCAAGTAAAGCACATCCCAAATATCTAGAAGACAAAGAAAACAGAGGTAAGTAAGAGGAGGGCCATAATATTAAGCCAGGACATCTGTGGCCCCATGCAATTTATGTGTTTTGTTTCTATCCTGCCTTTATTACTTTTACAAATAACTCAAGGTGGTGAACATATCCATCAACACACTTTCTTCCTCCTATTTTCATAGCAACAGCAACACTGTAAGGTGTTAGGCTGAGAGAGAGTGATTGGCCCAAAGTCATCCAGCTGACTTTCATGGCTAAGGCAGGATTTGAACTGATAGTCTCCTGCTTTCTAGTCTGATACCTTAACCACTAGACCAAACTGGCTCCTGGTTTTAGTGTTTCTTCGATTCCCAGAATGACACGGATTGCTGCAATTTTATATGAATTTTGCTAAAATCTAGGATGGCAAATAAAGGCTTCAATGTTAACTCCCAGAATTCCCTGGCCAATGGCTTAATGGAGGTGCTAGTTAACAGGCTGATGGTTAGAGATGGTTAACAGGATAAGAAGATCTCACCTGTGCCATCGGTGTCTTGGTCTTAGCTCTTACAAACTTTTTTCCTATTTATCTTTTTTATCATTTATAAGTTGCCCAGAGTCACTTTATCAGTGAGATGGATGGCATAAAAATTTAATAAATAAATTTTAAATCAAATTGTATCCTATAATCAGAAATGCTGAGGGTGCATTTAGGTGGACCTACAGGAAGGAGTTGGAGATTTTCTCTTGGTAAGTCACAGGGTAACTGAACAGGGTGGCAATGAGCTTTTAAGACAAATCAATATATTATACATAGGGACATTTCTTTCTATGGCATTGTAAGAAAGCAAAACCTGGATTACATCAGTGTGCAGATCCTTTTTAGCAAAAATTATCAAGTGAGCTGTACTGTTCTTAGAAGAATTGGGCTCTCTCCAGCGTTTTCACAGCATGCTTCCTCTTTTTATTACAAACAAAAAGCTAACACTCTCCAAAGTTATTTGAAATGTGCAGGGAGGAGGGAGATACCTAATGATGTAAAACTACTAATTTCCCAGACACTGGATGTAATTGTCACAGTGGGTTACACCTCTGATGAGGGGAATTTGTAGAAGCTGTTCAAAAACCTCTCCCTTCCTCAGGACTTTGCAAACTGATTTGTTGTTGTGCTACATTAACACCAGAGGGTGCTGTTTGACTGCTCTACAAAATTTCACATTTCTTGAAAAGGACACTTTTCTAGCCTTCCCCCACACCCACCTGAAAAAGAAAAGAAATAGATTACTGGAACTTCCATTTACACATTTAACAAAATGCAATTTAAAATAATTCAAAAACTCAAGTGTCTCTTTTTTTGTCACTGAGGTCTAAATTGAAAAGCAGGTTCCAATCCACAAATAGGGCTGCTTGTATCATTTTTAACCCAGCAGCCAAACAACATGAAATCACATGGCTATTCATACACAGTAGAAATCCTCTTTAGGCAGAGAAGCTTCTAGATAGCAAGAGAGCCAATTATGCTCCTTTAAATACTGCCTGACTTAAAAAAAAAAAAAAAAGCGGGGATAACATCTTTGCAGTGTTTGTTTATAGAGTCCTTTGCCCTGGAGGAACACACAGCCTCCAAGAGTAAATGACAGCCATAAATCTTCAGGATCCAGAAATACTCAATTTCAAAAAAGATAAAAGGGTGAGAACATTCCAGTGCATATATAGTGTAAAGTAAGATGAGGTTTCAGCTTAAACTATTTGCTGTTGTAAAAATATAAAGTTAAGTTCAGGTCAACACCTTTATGTATGACTGGCAGGGGTGGGGGGTGCTGCCTGGGTAAAGAAATAGAAAGTAACGATTGTTTCAATATTTTAAAGATATTTTCGACAGGAATTTGTTTGTATTTACCTGCCAAATCATGATCTATCATCTGTCTTGGTGCCAGGGTTTTTTAAAAACGTTTTTAATGTGGTTAATTTTATAGTTTTGTGATGGTTTTTATGTTATTTTCACTTTTGATTGGAACCACCAAGAGTTGGTACGTAAGATTGGGGTGAGGGGCGCAGCGACCATATAAATGTTTTAAATAAATAAATAAATGCCTGTGCTTCAGTATATTTTGCCCCCACAAACCCTAAAAACAAAAGTGGTAGCCATGATGGATGAAAACAACTTATTAACAGCATACACTGTTTTAGTTGAGATATATAGTGACTAAAAGCCACAATGAATCCTGAAGTTTATTTATTTAAAACAGTTAAAATATTTATTTATTTAAAACATTTATATAGCTCCCCCATCATGTCCAACTCTGGGTGGCTCCAATCAAAAGTGACAACAACATAAAAACCATAATAAAACTGTAAAATTAACACAACATCACAGGTCTATAAGCTTTCTACCACTTAATCTTGGTTTTAAGACACAGTTTGCATAAGAACTCTGAATTGACTGTCATTCTGAAGTTTTTTACTTAGGCTTCAAAAAAATACCTTTGAGAGAAATATAAGATCCCATGTTAGCTTCTCTTTGAAATTTTATTACATTCGTTAAAGAGAATGGCACTCTTGAGAAGTATTTCCTATTCAGATTTTTTTTCTAAGACAGGGGAATAAATGAGATTTCCCTTTATTACCATGCAATGTTTAGCAAGGTTCTACTTTAATAAAATAAAATAAAAAACCTCACCCCTACATCAATTAGGGGTAAGCTGGATCACTGGGCCTCTTACGGTACAAATTTTGGTTACAGCCTTCCAGTTACCAACCACCATGACAAAGTTGGCTTTCCAAGTGGCCTGTCAAGCTCAAAGCATGCATAATTCAGTCTTTGCTGGTTACATACCTGTACAAATGCAATGCTGAGTCCCACAGCTCCGATAATTATCAAGTGTTCCTGGATAAAGTTTCCCAGCTTTGTGATACAGCCACCCTGGGAATAAAACATTGAGATGATGTTACCTTTCATACCTATCTTAAGCTGGTTGTATCTTCCCGTGCTGTACAATGTCACCTCCTTCAAGACACAAACATACAAATGGATGGAGTAAACACAGGCTGATACTTGTGGCAAAACTGTCATCAGCTTGAGAATCATCCCCATCCATATTGTGACACCCATGTCCTGATAAGCTTTCTATAGAGCCTTGTATGGAGTGGGTTTAAGGAGGATGGGTGCAGTCGTCTTTCAACCAGGAGTAGAGGACACCCCTAACAAAGCCTGATACATAATCTGGGATCAGCCAAACCTAGCTATCATTTCTGGAAAATAATGCAGTTGATGTCTTGCCTGCTTCTCCTTCAGATCTGCCAAGTTCTTGCAGACACAGAAAATTACCAGGATAAATGGTTGCATAACTCGAGCATACATTCTTTTTTTATAGACATATTCTTTTTTATGTCCGAATGTTCATTATTCATTTCACACCCACACACCCCAGTAGTGACACAAGGATATGTCCCATGATTTTAAAATTGAGCCAGCAGGAAACATGCTAAGACAATCTAAAGTCAGATCCTTCATTGGCCATGAAGCTCCCAGATGCCCTCAAATCTACTGCCCATTTTGCCTCACATTTGTCACAATCTAGTTCTTGCAAAGATAAAAACAAGTGATTAAAAATAATGACAGGAGTCATGAATTGTCCCTTTCCACCTTTTCCTCTTTATCAATTGCCTCCCAGGGCTATATAACTGCAGCGGAATAAATTAAGTAGTATAACAGAGATCTTCCCCAAAGTAGTCTTTCTCCGTTATGTTCTCAATCTATTTGTGGCAGGTCAAATTCAAATACTGGCTGGAAGAAAATCTCATCAAGAGGAAATGGTTCGTTATTGTTTCTAAGTCTTTTGGAACATTGCTTGTTTTGTGGGTTGTGTGGAGTTCCCCGGTTGAGCATTCAGAGCAAAAATAATCAAGAGACTTGTGACAACTTAAAAATATCCCATTTTATTACTATCATCTAAACTTCCGTGAATTGGAAGAAGTGGTCTGCAATCCATAAAAGCTTATACAATAATAAACTGGCTAGCCTTTAAAGTACCTTAGCCCTCTTAGTTATTTTTTTAATTATACAGCAGCAATGAGAGAAGGAAGGTTCACAATTTAGGAACAAAGACAAAAAGTGAGAGAGGAAAAAGATGCAGGGGAAAATATAGTGAAAATTCAGATAAATGTGAAGGAATTTTCCTTCAGAAGAGTCTTTTTCCCCAACATTTTGGATAAAGCTAAAAAAAATTTTTTTAAAAAGGCCCCTGGATTCAGCAGTCAGCAATTATGCCCTGAGGCAGAGTTTGGTCTGCCTCTGCATGGCCAAAACAAGCTTAGTTGCAGAAGTTATTCATGTGCCTTCATGTCCCTTAATCCTACCCTGAGCCCCCACTGAAAGGGACTGCTTCATCATCATCATCCAGCAAAGTATCCTAGAGGCTGAAAGCATCAACCAGCTTGGTGGAAAAATGGAATTTTGCACTTAAATCAATTCTAAAGAATTGGAGTAGAAATGGGCACTTTAAAATATGTACTTCTCTGCTCTTCACACTGAAAAGCTTATGTGCACAATAAAACATAGAAGAAAAATACTCTTTAGGGTGAGTTCAGTTCCGGGTATTCCCATTTGTTTTCTTAATTAAAAAAAGTAGGTTAGCACTGTTTTCTTCTAGAATCTTTCGCCTCAGTAGGGCCAGCCCTGCCAAGGAATATATGTATCTATTTGCTTATGTTTACTTCTCTAGAACAACATAATCAAGATAAATACAGATAGTCCTCAACTTACAACCACAATTGAGCCCAAAATTTATGTTGTTAAGAGAGACATTTAAGTGAGTTTTGCCCCATTTTACAACATTTCTTGCCACAGTTAAGTGAATCACTGCAGTTGATAAGTTACCCAGTTGTTAAGTGAATCTGGCTTCCCCATTGATTTTGCTTGCCAGAAGTTCACAAAAGGTGATGATCACATGACTTTGGGACACAGAAACGGTCATAAAAATGAACCAGTTGCCAATCAACTGAATTTTGATCACACGATCATAGGGATGCTACAAAGGTTGTAATTGTGAAAAATGGTTATAAGTCACATTTTTCACTGCTGTTATATCTTTGAATGGTCACTAAACGAACTGTTGTAAAACGAGGACTACCTGTATTATGGTATAATTCTAGATTGAGGTTGTTATTATGTTCAAATGCATAATGACCAAGGTATGATTGATCAAAGAGCATAAACAATCAAAGGTCTCATCAGTGTTTTCTTAACATAACGATAATAGGAGAGGTCCCAGGTTTGTTTGATTTCTTTTTGATTTTTTTTTACCTCTTTGTAGATATTTGAAGGATGATCTCTTCTACCACATGTTTCAGTTATTGTCTTGCAGCAGCTGTCTGGGACCTTCCTTCCTTCCTTTTCAACTTTGTACCAATAGCTGTCACTCCAGTCTGTGTAATTATGACTGCCGCAGCACTTAAACTGAAAAACACAGGTAACGAGACATTATGAGAAAACCAAAATTGCATGAGGTATTGGGCCAAAATTACAAAATTACGTTTCCTGTCTTTGACAACACATATTTCTAGTATGCACAACTTGTGGCCATTTTTCATAAAAAGGTCAGTACACAACAACCCACCAGCCAGACAACAAAAAATAAAACTTTTTTCTCTAAGCTTCTTGTTGCTGTTAAATAGTTACAAGGCTGTGCATCTCTTCCCACAAGAAGCAGTAAAATTCACTTTGTTTCTGGAAGCTTACAATGTCTCTTTTCAGTTTGGGAGCTAGAAAAATGTGTAACAGTACAGTTTAGGCATCAAATGTTTCTCAAGAAAGCGCCTTCTAAAAAAAACCTGCACTCAAGTCAGTCCTCTTCACTTGCTTTTGCAAATCCTCAGTTGTTCTATTAAAGATAGAACTGTTATTATTATAAAGCCCTGAGGTACCCGAGATATCAAATTTTTGCAAGAGTCTCTCTACTTGTCCAACCAAGTCAAGCAGGATGTTTATGCTGCAAATCCTGTCAGCCAAAGAATATTGGCTGACAGGGAGTAGAAAAATGGCCTTTTTCCTCAGTGGCCCTGGCTCAAAGTAACATCCTCACTTTGGAGATTAGGAAGGCCCCAGTCCTGTTAGTCTTTTGTAAGGCCTTAAAAACCTGGCTATGTTCCCAAGCCTGGGATGTTGAATGTGTCAAGGGCTCCATTTCCTGGCTATATTGCTAACGGGCCAAAGATATTGCTCTTGTGTATCTTGAATTGGATGTTTTAAATGTTCTTTTAAGCAGTTTTACTGTTTTTATTGTTTTAAAATGTTTTTTGAATTTTTGTAATATATTTTCTGAATTGTAACTGCCCAGTGACTGAGAAGGGTGGCCATAGAAATTGAACAAACAAACAAGTAAAGTCCATCTGAAAGAGATGCAAGGAAAAGGCTGAACCACCCTCTGGCACTGAATGCTTCACCTTTGTAGAGCAGGGGTCTTCAAACTTGGCCCTTTTATGACTTGTGAACTTCAACTCCCAGAATTCCTCAGCTAGCATGCCTGGCTGAGGAATTCTGGGAGTTGAAGTCCACAAATCATAAAAGGGCCAAGTTTGAAGACCCCTGTTGTAGAGGAATATCTGGAGCTAATGAAGACTTGAACTTGATACAATTATATTAAGAGTCTCCTCTTAATTGGAAGATATTAGCACCTATTGTTTATAAAGCCATTCTTGGTCATGCCACTTCTGCTTCGTATCCATGGGCCTATGCTGGCCTCCACTGGTTTGTTCAATCAATGAAGAAGCCACTTTAGTTTTTCTCACTATATCAAGCTACACTTCCTGCAAGTGGATGATATATCAGCTGGGTGTGGAAGAATCATTGCTGAAAAATGTAATTCCCTGTAAAGACATGGCATGCTCAAGCATTTCTGTTCAATTACGGTCAAAAGGAGTCTCTTCCCTTCCTTGTACAATCTTTTTCCATCTGATATCATGATTACACAGAAGTATCCCAAGCTTCCAGTTTGTGGCATGAATCCAGAACCCATATATGTATAATCTCTGAGTAAGCCCAGAGCAGCTTATTCCCTGTGCATTCATATTATACTGTTAGGCAGCAATCTCATGTATGTTGGGAAGTTAATTTAAATGCAGCTGGATTTATTTCTGAACAGTTTGGAACATATGCTGAATGATCCCTCTACTATCACACATTCTCAGCCTTACTGGACAATGGGAGAACCTTTCAGTCACTGCAAATATAATAATAATAATAATAATAATAATAATAATAATAATGATGATGATGATGATGATGATGATGATGATGATGATGTTGTTGTTGTTGTTGTTGTTGTTGTTGTTGTTGGAAGGGACCTTGGAGGTCATCTAGTCCAACCCCTTGCTCAGGCAGGAACCCTACACCATTTCGGACAAATGGCTGTCCAGTCTCTTCTTAAAAACCTCCAGTGTTGGAGCATTCACCACTTCTGGAGGCAGGTTGTTCCACTGGTTAATTATTCTAACTGTCAGGAAGGATAGATGTTAGGATGATGTTCCTGTTTAGACTTGGTATACCGGTGGCTTACACCAACATACTTTCACAAATGTTGAAATAAAATAGAGTGATCTTATAAACTGAAGAGTAGAAATATCCATTTTCCTATCAGCAGTTTCTAAAAATAAAAAGATGAGTAAAACTTCCCACCAGTTGGGAAAATGCCCTCAATCTTGTTCTTTTGAATGAAGTACTCAGTATGTTCCCAAATCATACACACTGTACCTTAAAAGTGTCTAGCCACGTCCAATATGATCATCTAAATTCTAAAATAACCAGACATATTGATCTGAAGCCCTGCTGCACTGGTCAAAAGAAGATGAAGCACATCCTTCTCCACTCTCTGAGAGAATTGTGCTCCTCTGTTAATTACATTTTATGCCATGCTTCTCTGTAACTGGAGATTAATAGCTTCAAGAAAAATACTTGACAATCAGGAAATGATTTACCACTTTTACTCAACAAAGACCCGTCTGTTTTTCCAATTTTCTCATGCAACAGGATTGTTAAATGGTTGAGGGTAGAAATAAGAACTGGAGAGGTATTCCAGTGACTTGATCATTAAATAGGACCAGCAGATTATTTTAACCAGTTACTTTTGTGGTTCTCCTTTGGGATCTGCTGTTCCACGCATGAGGCAAGACTGCTAAAAATACACAGGCCTTGTTGGACCATGAAAAGTCAACACAGAATGAAATGGGAAAGTTATCTACGTGTGATACATTTACAAGTGCCTTGCTCATATAAAAGATCATTCAAACGCAGTTATTTGGTGGAAATGCAGCCCCCTTCAGATGTTACTTGCAGATAAGGGGTCCTAAAGCTATTTCTTTCCAAATATGCACCTACATTCTGGGTAGGCAAAAGCCCCCTCAATTGGCAGTAGTCAAGTCCAGCAGCACTTTTTGGGTTGTTGGGTCTTCATTTGATTAATCTTTTCATCCACAGCTCTCTTGAAAGGAAGGACCACATTATGACTTCCGTTCAGGGAAAATCCCCAGGGATCCAGGATGAGTGGGATCAATAATCTGGCCAAAAACAACTGCAGCCTAATTTTGAAAGTATCTGTATGGATACAAATGGACCCAGAAAACATGCCTCAAAAATATCACAATCTGAAGACGGGGAAAAGCGCCATTTTATTTTCTGCCATGACTGATGTATAAATAAAAATATAAACAAATTCAGCTTTTCCCATTTCTTCCCCTAGATCTTAATCTGTATTAACTCCCATATCTCTTAAACATACCTCCTGTTGAAGTTTGTCCACCGCATTAGTCACACTCTCTTCTCCTTCCTTCCTATACTTCTTGATTATTGTGTTTCTCAGATTTTCCTTCAGCTCGTTGTTCAGCTATACAGAACAGGACATCAACAATGGGGACAGAAATAAGATATAGCAATATGGTTCTTCAACCCAGTTCCCTGTCTAACAATTGTTACCAACTATTCTGTGAGAAATTTCATGTAATTAAAAATGACTCCTGGGACTTGGGGCCCAGTTTGGCCAAATATAAATTTGGCAAACTGAGCTAGGTGGATAGCTTGAAATGCTGTGCAAACTGAATGCTCTAGAACAGGCTTCCTGAACAAGTTTCAGTCCAAAACCTGGACAGCAGTCCCCTCCATTCCCTACCCAATATGATCATCAGAGAAAGCTACTCAAGGTCTCCTCCAGCTTCTGAAGAAATGCTCAAGGAATATGTCAATTTATCCTGCTCGTTATTTTTTTTAATATATTGCAGGACTGCTCTGATCTTTCCTACACATCCTGCCTCATGCTTTGCAAACCAAATAAGACAAAGAACTTAGATTCATAGTTCATTAGAACTCTAGAATTGAAACAGTTTTAAGACCCAGTACTCTTGGTTGCCTGGATTAACTTTTAGAAGTATATTGTGGGCACTGAGAGCTACAATCACTTATTCAAATGATCCCCCACAACTGAAAGAAAACACTACCCTATATGTTGGAAGCAAAGAATGACTTCATCTAATGGAGGACCAGTAACTCATCAAGTTGTTAATAGCCAATGCTAATGTGAGAAGTTGCACAAGATCCGTAATTTTTATTAACCCTATCAGCCAAGATCATTTAACTACAGTCAAATGCCCAATCTACAACTTTGCTGTCTAAACCAGGGGTTCTCAACCTTGGCAACTTTAAGACTTGTGGACTTCAACTCCCAGAATTCCTCAGCCAGCTTTGCTGGCTGAGGAATTCTGGGAATTGAAGTCCACAAGTCTTAAAGTTGCCAAGGTTGAGAACCCCTGGTCTAAACTAATACACTGCGGTGCAGGCATTTGAGGAAAGGAGGGTATCTGGAAAAAAGCCAAGGTCAATATTGTGCACCATCAACCCAGCAATAAGCCTTAAACTCCACTTGTCCAATCAGGTAGCATATCATCTTGGCTATGTCCAAATCACCTTTTTATTTGGAAACCAAGGGCTGTGAAGTTTTCGAGCAGAATAATCAAGAAAAAAATGCAAAACAGAACAGCTTTAACAATATTAGAACATTTTAAAAGCCCCTCCATTAACCCATGCCATGCAGAAAAACAAAAGCAGATTACCTGTGGGTTGATAGGGAGGAACTGCAGCATGACAAAGAGGCAGCAAAAGTAAACACACACACACACAGTTTATAGGCATTTTGGAAGAAAGTGCCAGCGAGGGAAGAAATACAAAAAGCAACACAAAAGGCCAATTCCTTGAGTCCTTGAGAAGAGGACAGGAAGCTTGCCAAAGAAAGACTAGCAGACGGAGAAAATAAAGCTTACGAGACCAAGAGGATTCCCACAATCACTAAAAGCCCACAAGGAATAAAGAGCTCAATAGGCCATGCTTTTTCCCCTCCCCTGTCTCCATCATCAGTGTTTGCCATGCATTCCTTTAGCTTCCAGTCCACTTTCACGTAGATCAGATTCTGCAACTGGCAGACTTCACAAGGGATAGGAACAAGCTTTCCAACACTACTGTATTTTATTCCACCAGGATTCAACCTTCTTATCTTTTCAACACCTGACATTTTAAGGCTGCTAATCCCTTATAAATCATAGGGTTTTTTTTTATAATCCATTATTTAAGTCATATGAGAAGCTAAGGTGACAGTTCACAGCCCCAAGTCAAATCATGACCAAGTTATTAAGCACCTAGAGATGGCAAACCTCCATGCTTTTCCACCTGATCTGACCCATCGCATTGCATTTGCCAGAAAAAGCTAGCATGGAATTGGGCAGTTTGTGGTTTAGCATGCTGAGGAAACCTGGTCATTGCGTTAACTTATGTGAAACTATGGCATAGTTCATTAGTTTGGGCACAGCTTGGTATGCAAGCAAAGACACTAAGCAACCAGGATTTAGCCTGTTGTGTGAACCAAGATAGTCATGCCAGGTCTTTTGTTCCCGTCACATTCAGGTTAAAGCTGGTTTACTTCTTAAGTAGTAAAACTGTTGCAAACTCACCCTCTGGGATACCAAAAAAAGCCCACTATTGATTAGATCAGCATATACATTTATTATAAAAACATGCATCAATCAGGACAACAATAAACAGATAACTACCAAGCACTTTTTTCTTTCTTTTGTTATTTGTAGATGGCCCTTCAAGGACAGCTTCCCTCCCATGATTGCATTATTTCATCATAAAACCAATGTACAATAAAAGCATTACAGTCCCTTAAAACAGAGCAGCAACAGTAAGTTTAGCAGCAATTAGTATGTCAGTAGTAAGCAGACCAAAATAAAGACTTTTAAGAATGTTTTAGTTAACATTTCCAATTAAGTGAGTTTCACAGACAAGAATCCATCACTAGGATTCTATGTATTTGCAGTTTAATGTGGACATTGCAAAATATACGAGACACTTATGACTTTAAAAACAGATCTAGGTGTCACCCATTCACATCTTCATTCCTCCGTTTCTCAGCTATCTGGGCTTAGTATGGACTATGTGAAAGTCAAGAGATGTTACAATGACAATCACCTTTTGTTAGTAATAAGAGAATGTGTTAACCACTGCAGAATCAAATAGAATCTATGATATTTGCATTCCTAGCACAGATGCAGTAAGCAGAGTATTCTCTTAGATCAGACATGTCAAACTCGCAACGTCACGTGACATATCGGGACTGTTTTGCCATTGCTGGCAATGGGGTGGGTGTGGCTTCTGTGTGATGCATCCAGCTTGCAGGCTGGCAGTTTGACACCCCTGCCTTAGATGGTAATTTTACAATTCATGAAAATGGCTTCAAACCAACTCACTGCAGATCAATTTCATGTTATATTAAATTGGCCAATGGTGCAGTGGTTAGAATGCAGTATAGCAGCCTTACTCTGTCCAGTGTCAGGAGTTCAATTCTGATGGGCTCAAGGGTGACTCAGCCTTCCAAGGTTGGTAAAATGAGGACCCAGATTGTTGGGGGCAATATGCTGATTCTGTAAACTGCTTAGAGAGGGCTGTAAAGCAATACAAAGCTGTATATATCTTATTGCTCTTGTTATTATGGGACAGGATGAGGTAACTGCATGTCAGAAGCTTAACTTGGTGCCAGGTTTTTGTTTTTAATGTTTATGGATTTAATAGTTTTAATATGGTTTTAATGTTGTTTTATTATTGATACTGTTTTAATTCTCAATTGGAAGCCTACCAGAATTTGGTATAAGATGGGCAGCTACATAAATGTTTTAAATAAATAAATGGGTCTGGTGGTAAAGATCTTCCCAGGTGTGTGCATGGGTGAATTACTGAACTGCTCTACATCATTTACAGCAACATTTTATGCTCCTGGTTTATTAAAATTTACTACATCGTAAAAGTTGCCTTGCTTGGGCCAATGGATGTACATCAATGCCTATATATAAGGTTTATAATCAAATGCATTTTTATTGTAGCACTGGAACAAAGTTAATGAAAGAAGCGTTTGCACTGCAGCTTCAAATCATAGCATGGCTTTTGAGACACACAGATGACAATCCCTTGTTCATTGTAGGTTTTTAGTCCACAAATCTGTAGCCTAGGAGGTTCTGTGCATAGCAGATGTGCTTACAGGGTTTTGTGGAAAGAAGCCAAAAAGCCCCATGACTACCACTGTCACAGTAGTGCGGGCTCACAGTAGACAAGAATGATTAGATCTCTGTGGACAAATATTCATTGTGTTGAGAAGACCTGTAGGAAATGAAATGTAGCCTGTTTACTGATCACCCAGTTTTCTCATGTTACCTACCTGCTGGTAATAGACACAGGCCAGGATTCCAGCAATTATCTCAAGCAGGAAGATGCAGAGCAGCAGTATGAAATACTAAAGAAACAAAATGAACAAAGAAGTTAAAGCAGAGCATTGTACACTATGGGATTTACTTTGCCTATAAAAATACACTATTGACAAAACAGGCAGACTTAGCTACCCAACGTTGAAAACAATGGCATGGCAAAGCAGGGAACACGTAGCAGGCATGATGTACTCCTGCCCAAGATGAACTGGATTTGGAGGTTGCCCCAGATTTTTTTTGGGGGGGGGGGGTGTTTATCAGCCAACTGCTCTATCTAGGAGTGGAAGAATGGCTTTCGACTTTCAGAGCTTATTATTTTACTAGCTGTACCCAGCCACGCGTTGCTGTGGCTCAGTCTGGTTAAATGGAAAAGAAGTGTGTTGCTTTTACGTCCAACAGATGGTGCTGTTTTTCAAAAAAAGCATGTTTTTACCTGTCACAAGTGTGACATCTATATAATAGTAGGTATATAAAAACACGCGCGTATTCGAATGCAACATTGTGTCAAAATTTCAAAGCAATCGGTGAAGAACTTTCGGAGATTTAAGATTTTGAACAAACGAACATTTACATTTTTATTTATATTATTTTATTATTATTTTATTTTATGAAATGCTCAGAACAAGCTGCACAAAGTACACCTTACTCGGAAGTGGAACAAGCATCTACTTTGTTTAGAAGGTAGTTTTACTGATACATTGATAGCTTTCTTGATACATTAAGGGGGAAGACAAAAACAGGTCTTCGCTGCCGTATAAATTCACCAAAATGAGATTTGCTTGGTTTAGCACATTGCATAATTACACCCATTGTGCTTTATTCCATAAATCATAATGAACTAAATCATGGCTTTTGACATTAAACCTTCGTCTATTGTGTGGCAATGGGTTTCCAAAATAATAGGCTAGAGATCATTTCCAGCTCTGCTAGCCAAATTCCTTTTAATGAGAGAATCTGGGGACTGATCTGTAGACCTTCTGTGTGAAAAGCATGTGCTCTACCACTAAATTATGTTCCTTTACCCATTGCTTTCACAGCTGTGACTCCTACGCCTCTTGCCAATACTACTTGTTTTGAAATGCAACCCCTCCAGCTGACATCAGTAAAAACTCATCACAAGCTTGTTAGATGATGGTGGAATGCTTAATTGCTCAGGGCAGAAAGCATTTTGAAATAGCTGAGCTTCTTGTAGCTCCTGACAAGTACAGAAACGTCAACAAAATGTAGGCAAGCACTTTGGGCCCAGTTATCAGGTGTGAACTTCAAAAAAGAATAAAGGAGATATTTTTTTTAAAAAAAAAATCCAACTACCTAGCAATCTCTAAAAACATTCAAATCAGAGGAACACTAACACTGATGTGAGACTTAAAACTGGTCATGTAGAAATCTCCAATAGGCACACCACAAAAAGGGACAAATGGAGAAGTCAGAGAACAAGCAACTACATGGCCTTGACTCAAAAGGGTAAGAGAAATAGGCCCAGGATATAAAGCTAGAGACTAAAAGAGAGAGGAAGAAAGAGAGGACCGGAGTTATATATTGCTGCTATATAGATAACTTCTTCATATCTATTACCTCCTAATTTTTTGCAATTAATCTGCTTACCTAACTGTCTCTCTGCTTGTCAATGTGGAATTAGGAGGGAGTTTAACTGCCATACCTCATATAAGGTCCCCCCTCATTCCTAAGATAAAGCTATGGCTACAGATCTTCTGGCAACCCAGAAGATCACTTGCTCTAGTCTCAATATCAAGTTGCAATCCAATGGACCAATTAATCCAGACAAGAAACCAGTTCTAGCCCAACAGGTGGCAAGGAATTTGCCACAAGAGTAGCTCTAGTCACGCTTCCAGCTCAAATCCTCATAAGCTGTTGCTGCTGAAGTAGCCCTCTGAAGTCAAACTTCTGCTTCTCTGCCTGAAAGGAAGGACAACTGAGCAGGTTCATTACCTTCATATAGTAATTACCCATTGCCTTGAGGATTTTCCCATCAATCTTTTGCAGGATTTATAATTGACATGATGGCTGAGAGAGCAACAAAACTAACCGTCTCGCCCCCACACCAGGCTTAGATATCTCCAATTTATGACATTCTTGGGAGCTAGGCTCAATAATCCTGTCAAACATAGATAGTGAACCTACTCAATTCATGCCTCTACAAATTTGTCGTTTCAGATCATTTACACTTATCACTCATGACTGCTCCCCATTGCTTTTGGGCTCTCTTCTATATCAGAGCTCTCACATTTACTCCAGGACCTGTAAACTGCTCAGGGCCTTTTCAAGGATTCCCCAGGCCATTCAAGGCCTATTACAAGCACTCCAAGCTGTCACTATCAGGGATTCTCCCCACTGCTAAGAATATTTCTTCCCTCCACATGAACATCTAAATGCAAAGAGTCGCAATACGTTGCGACACATCAGGTGATGTGGCGAGTTTGACACCTGTGATCTAAATAGTTCGATCCAAGTTGATGGACCGTTTCCCATTCCTGCATATTCTTTTGCCTTTGGTCTATAGCTTCGGAAGACACGTCTTGCTTTCCATCCTATGTTCTGGAATGACTCCCTTGCTCTCTATGCCAGTCTGTTCTATCCTCTCCCTCTCAATGGCAGGGAGGAAGAATTTACAAAAGAACAGACTTCCAATTTAGGAAAGTCAATCTGTAATATCTATTCACTGAAATAGTTCATACTGTTCCTGCATTTGCAACATACCAAGAAACCCAAAGTTTCTGATGGGCTGTACATTCTCACTGGCTCTGGGTTGACTCTGAATATAAAGGGAAATTGCCTGGGGAGATTCCAGGTCATGGTTGTCCCAAAGGTGCTTTTTCAGGAGGTAACTGGACTTCAGACTTTAGATACTTTTAGATTACAGTAAGAACCTCATATAGTGGAAATTGGGAATGTGGAAGGAAAATGGGAGGCTTTGGGAATGGAGGATGGTAGAGCAGTTCCATTCAAAGAATGAACATTCTCTTTATCCCTGAGATCTCTAACCAAGTGGAGGGAGAGGTTGAAAGGAGTGAAAGAGGTTTGTTTATATTTAAGTCTAGCTGTAGAAGAAATGCAAATTCCCTGCCCAGAGATGCCCAACTTAAAAAAAAAGGAGAAAGTAGAAGGGAGGAGAAGGCTCCACACCTATTTGCACTACTCAGGTGACCCTGAGGACACAGGTAAACCTCCAAATGACCTCAATGATTCTCTAAAAGAAGGCAAATGACCAGCTGTCTGCAAGGAATATAAATCCTTCCATTCCCCACCATCCAGTCAGAGCTGAAGAAGCTTCTTGGATGACAAGCGAAACGTTTTCAAAGAAAAACAAGTCAGTCCAGTTGCCTCCTGAAAAAGCACCTTTGGGACAACCATGACCTGGATGACTGAGAATCTCCACAGACATCTGCTGACTTTTTCAAGTTATATTGCTGCAATAGATTATACATGAAGCCATTCTTGCTAAATACTCAAGAATATAAGCTACTTGTGAGGCAGAACTGGGAGACCAGAGTGACTTTTTCTGACAGTGGAGACAAAGCTCCAGTGGTTTCCAGCTTGACCCTGGACAAAATTCAAATTGCTGATACTTATCCTTCAACTTCCTTCATAGCTTCCAACTACCTTCTGTTATTTTAACCTGCCTTGGCTCCTAAATTACCTCCAGATTCCCTTGCCTTAAAAATAAAATAAGATTCTGATGGAAGCAAGTGCCTTGATTTGGTGTGTGTTCTACAATGCTCTCCCAAAAGTATGTGGTATTTGAGCATTTTTTCATCCAGTACTAGATGACAATATTAAGTTTAATATTTTTATTTCATAGGTGTTTTATGGCTAAGCACAGTAGAAACCACCCCAAAGTCATCCAATAAGCTATTATGGCTAAGGGTAGACTAGAACCGCAATCTCCTTACACCTAGTCTAATACCTTAGCTGTCACACTATACTGATTCTTAAGTGTGGACTTAAAGAGTCAGTAATGCATTTTTTTAATGGACTGCATTAAAAAAAAATATTACGAGACTATTGTGTTGGTGGTTTTTGTTGTTATAGTGTTTCCTAATTTCCTCTTAGCTTCTAATTTTATTTTGGCTAATTTTATTTTTTGGAGTGGGATTCCCCCCTTTAATTTATACATGCTAGTAGTAAACACAATTGAAGGCTAGAATCTAAACACATTTATTCAGTTAAATAATAAAACTCAAACTTTTTTTTTTTTTTTTTTTTTTTGGCTCTTGGCTGATCTCAGCCCTTCACATCCCACAAAGTTTGTTGAAGCCTCTGACCATCTGCTGCTGGACAAGATGTCCTTTCATACCACAGGCACAAGTAAACAAAGAGAGAGCTAGCGAACTCAAGACTGCACTTCACACTAAAAGGAGCTGCAAAACAGAACAGAAACACGCCTTCACCCACAGGTCACTTTTGTTGGAAACAGAATAAGTAATGTTACTGACGTCATCCCTCTACCAGCTGAGATCTTTAAAAAGGAAACAACTCGCCAATGAGCTAGAAAACTGATTTTCATGCTTGTATTCCTAAAGTTCACCTCCTCTGTTGTACAAATACGGGCCAATTAGATTACAGACAGATTAGATCACAGACGATCAGAGCCAATGGTTCCCAAATTAAACAAGGGCACAGCTGTTTCTACTATAGACCATCAAAGGTCAGTAATCTCTTCTCAAATGTGATGCCTTCTAAGCATGTTGATCTAGAACTGTGATCATCCTCTGCCCACAGGAGAAAGACTGATCTATAGAATCACAACAAAAATGTATTAATTCCTGTCAGTTGTGAGCTAGCAATTGACAAAGTAGGAATTGGGATTTGCATCTGGCACCTGCAGATACCTCTCTGCTGTTTACTAGCCTTCTTGCTGTGTTCTAGGTTTTCCTTTTGATATTTTAAAAAATATTTACATAGAATTAAAAAAAGGAAGCTGGCAAGTTGTAAAGTACAATTCTCTTTTTTGCAAGAACAGACTTGGCTTCTATATAGGTCCCAAGTATTTTTTTTAAAAAACAACAAATATGGTAACTGATTCTAGAGTTAGTTTGGTGTAGTAGATAAGGCACCAGGCTAGAAAGCAGGAGACTGAGAGTTTTAGTTCTGCTTTAGACACAAGACCAGCTGGTGACCTTGGGCCAGTCACCCTCTCTCAGCCCTAGAAAGGAGGTAATGGCAAACTACTTCTGAAAAACCTTGCCAAGATAGTTGCAGGGATTAGTCCAGGCAGAGTCCAGGAGTCAATACTGATCAGAAGGCACAAAAAAAACACAAACCTGACTGTACCCCAACCTTTGCCAACTCCCTCCCAAAAAACACCAACATCATACCCTACTAACATAGATACTTAAATGTGGGTGACAATTTATCAATGTTATTACTGACAGAGGGGAAACTTTTCCACCAGGTGAGGTAGAAGGGAGGAAGAATTGCCCATCAATAGGTTTAAGCTTCTCAGCAGCAGAATTTTGAGTTTATTTTGAACTTAAGGATATGAGGGACATGATGGATATCACCAAGATGCAAGTCGAAACTTTGTCATTGTGGCTGTTAAGAGTTGCCAACCCATTTTATAGGGATCATAAAAACTTCCCCAACAGCCCCACTCTTGGAATGGGAGGGGGGCAGGAGAGGAAATGGGGGTAAAGAAGGTAAAGGAAGGTAAAGGAAGAAAACATATTTTGAAATCTGTGCCTTCTTCCCAAAGCATTTGATTCCATATTTGAATCATTAAGCCCACAAGAGACACATTTCTCCTTTGACATTCACTCACCACGGTGGATCATCATATCCATTCATCTTACTGTTCAATAAGAAAGAAATGGGAATATACCAGTACACAGCTCTTTATTCTAATCACAGAGATGCTTGAAATATGAGCTGAGGTCAGACTTGGCAGAAACAGCTGAAGCTGAAGCCAGCCAGGCCAAATGAACTTCTGGCTCCAAATCAGAAGACAATCGACCTGTCACAGCCAGCCACTTAAGAGGAGAAAAAGCAGGAACAAACAGCTCTTTTCTTCCCCAAAAAACAAGTATTAGTTTTCTGTGGCAAAACAACCTAAAGGACTGTACCAACTTTTAATCTGTAATTTTTGGCTTTGGGGAACAGAAACAAATAGGGATAATTTTGCAACACAGTGAGCTCTTGTGTGCAGCCAGAGTGGAATGGCCTGGCTTGCAAACCATGTCCAACACCAACATCTTCTGACGCTACTAGAAGAACTTCAAAAATATCCTCAAGGATGACTTGATCTTTAAACTATAACAAATTTTCCTCCAACTTGGCACCCTCCAAATGCTTTGGGACAGCAGCCCCCAGAATACCTCAGCCAGCACGGACACTGTAAAGTTGAGGAAGACTCCATGCTTACCCTGCTCTTTATCATATCACACGTACAGGAAAAGGACGTCAAAGCAACCAACTCTGTACATTTGTTTTCTCTATGTCAGAAAAAAGATGTTAGTTTTTTCCCACCAAATAATTTTCCTGGAGCAAAACTGATTTGTATTTTGTCATTCCATATTTAGAAACAGTAGCTCTTCTTTCAAGCTGCCCCAAATCTGGGTTTCTTTTCTAATTTAGCTTGCCTTCATCTGACTAAGCCAAGGGTCTTCAAACTTGGTATGACTTGTGGACTTCAACTCCCAGAATTCCTCAGCCAGGCATGCTGGCTGAGGAATTCTGGGAGTTGAAGTCCAAAAGTCATAAAAGGGCCAAGTTTGAAGACCTCTGGACTAAGCACATTCCCCTTCCCATTCTGTGTTCCAGGTGTAGTCCATTTAAATAAGAGAAACTCACCACTTTCAGCAGACTCCGTTGTTCCCTGAAGGTTGCACAGCAACCCAATATGCCAGTAATCATGACAACAGCACCTGCCACCACCAGAATGTAGGCTGTTGCCAGGTATATATTAGACTGCAAGAGACTAATGTAGTCACTCTTCTCAGCCAGGGTCCAAATGCCCACTGCCATCACAGCTCCTCCTGCCAGCTAAAGAGGGAGAAAGAAACATACAGGATGAGTGAGAGGTATTGGTATTAAAATTTCCCAGAACCACCTAGTTCGATGTTTTTCAATCGGGTATCCGCCGCATGCACTGGACCGTGTCTGGAAATCGTGGGCCTTGTAGCACAGCTTTTTTTCAACCTTGGCAACTTTTAAGATTTATGGTCTTCAATTCCCTAGAATAAGTCTAAGTTTGTTTTTACTTTCACTTTTCTCTGGGTTATATGATTAGGAATTTATCAAGATCCAATCAAGAAATCAAAATTGAGAGTTTTGTAATTCTGGCAAAGGCATTAATGTTCCTTAAAGCTCAATTTAGAAAAAAGTATCCGAGCCATACAAGCACATAAAGAATTCATTATATAGCCTGAACACGAACACCCTACATCAGTGATGGCGAACCTTTTAAAGACTGAGTGCCCAAACTGCAACCCAAAATTCACTTACTGTATTTATTGCTGGGTGCCAGGTGGGCGTGGCTGTGGTGGTCATGGCAGACTGGGTGGGTGTGGCCAAGGTAGGCGTGGTCACCTTGATGTTGCTCGTGGGGAGGGATGCCTGTGGGGGACGGGCAGGGCTGGGGGAGATCCAGGGAATCTCTGACAGGTGGGGCGGTGGGCAGGAGGCTTGTCCTGCGGGGTGAGGCGAGGCAAAGTGAGGCAGGGTGGGGGTGCCATTGTCACAGAGCAAGGCGAGGCAGGGGCTGGGGCAGCTGCTGCCTGACACCATCGGCCCCCGCACACAGAGGCCAGCGAGTCTATGGGGGCTGACAGTGTCCGTCAGCAGCCACAGCCTGCCGGCCCCTCGACTGGCGCACTCTGGGGCTCCGCAGCCCGCCGCCAGCAGTTCAGAGAAGCCACCTTTGAGCTGGATGGCTGGCCGACAGCTGAGGCAGCGATGCAGTGGGTCATGCCCGGGAAAAGGAGAGCTTGTGAGGCCAGGAGGGATGGGATGGGGGGGGGAACCAGCCGTGCTGGGATGCATCCGGCCATGTGGGACCTCGGCGAGTTAGCAGGTGGCTGGTTGAAGAGGGACGGTTGCCATCTCTGGGGCATGGTGCGCGTGCCCACAGAGAGGGCTCTGAGTGCCGCTTCTGGCACGCGTGCCATAGGTTCACCATCACTGCCCTATATATTTGTTGCATTTCAAGGACCTTCCAATATTTATCTCTTCAATGTTATCTAGGATCCCATTATTAGACTGATGAACTTCTTTTGATAGGCTTCCAGACTATGCAGCAGGCAGTTCAAACAAGGAGAGAAAAGACAGTAACTCCTAAATCCAGTTCAAGGACTTAAAACCAGTGACTTAAGGTCAGGGGGGAAACCACCCTTCTGTGCAAATGAAAATTTCAGATGCCACCTTCTTCAATCACCAATTACTTCTTGGCTTTAGAAAGTTGTAAGCCTCTGAGCAGAAAAGGTACACAGATGCTAAGGCAAATGTTTGCCTGAATGCCTTATCTCAGTCATTCTTAAAAACAGAGTGAAGGCAGATAGATATCATGTATTAATTAGATTGATATATTGCCTTTCCTCCAAAGGCTCAAGGCAACAAACATAACTCCCTCCTTCCATTTTTTCCCTCAACAGCAACAGCCTTATATGATAAGCTGAGTTGGTGGTTTCTGCAATCCAAATCTAACACTCTATCCACAACACTACATTAAATTAACCCTAATTACTCCTACACCCCTAAAATACCCTAGATTTATAGCACGATGTAGGGAAGTACCACCAAATAGTGGCTCCTTACCCAGAAGAAGAAGTTGAAGATGAACAGCAGGTATTTGAGACAGATGGTCACACATGTCTCCTTGCTTTCACTGTATTCACGCATGGTTCACAAATCAACAGAACTGTAAAAAAAAAGCAAGAAAGCAAAAGCTTAAATCCACAAAGAGTCATTTCCTTATTTTATTTTGTCACCCAAAGTGCAAGTGTGATCATTCTGCATTTCTCCATACAATGACAACTCAGCTGGCATAGCTACAAAACAACATAAGGGAAACATGATAGGGAAAACATGCAGCGCACGCTTGTAGGAACTTTTTACATACCAACATGGGGAGGGTCTGCATTTTCCTCTATGACAAACAACACAGTGCATCTTTCCGTTCTCTAATTCTATTGCTTCTGTGTATGTTTGTGTTATTGCTTTGGGTCATGTTAACAAAAGAGAGTAGGATCAACCTTTCACTAAATATCTCTTGTCGGTACAGTTTTCTCTAAAGCAGTGTTTCTCAACCTTGACAATTTTAAGGCATGTGGACTTCAACTCCCAGAATTCCACAGCCAGCAATGCTGGCTGTGGAATTCTGGGAGTTGAAGTCCACATGCCTTAAAATTGTCAAGATTGAGAAACACTGCTCTAAAGGAAGCCAAGTTAAAACTTCCTTTCCAGGTTTTATGCCTTTCTCCACTTTGGGCAACTATGACCAGCATCTTGAATTCTTACCAGAAGGCTACACACAGACAGCAAGAAAAAGGGAGCAAACATGTAACAATGAGCTCTCTTAAGTTTTACATGAGGGCGTCAAGTTAAAGAGACACTCTGGATTTACTACAAATGGAAGTTTGCAATACAAACACCTTTTTTTCCCTCTCCTTTCTGGTCTCTTGCGTTTAGAAAGTTCTGCCATCCTCCCAGGGCATGGGACATTTTTCTGGAGAAAAAAAAAATGGGAATGCTTCCATCTCCATTCCAGTCTTTTCCTTTTGCCCAATTGCACACAGAGAGCAAATGATTTTTCTTAGGACAGGTGACAACATAGTTGGCAGAAGATCTTATTCACAACCAAAAGGAGAGACTGAGAGATGACTGTATGCACCCAAGATAGTATCAGGGACAGAATGCTCCAGTCTTGGCTTGCTGACAACCCAGTCATCATGAAACATGTCAGTGCTCCCCTTATGCATCCTCTCACATTCCAGTATCTTACTTCTATTAGGCTTCCCAGGGATTTATTGCTTGTAAATGATGAGAGATTTATTGTTCTCAGGACATACAGAACTGTGGTCAAGCCCCATATAATTAACAAATCCAAGAAACAAGAACCCCGTGGCTTTCAGGAAGGCATCATTAAGGCTAACCTGATATAAAAACAGCACAATCTTTCAAACTGCAAATTCTCAGCCAGACTTACAGCAAGTTTAATTAAGGTGGAATCTCTTCAAAACATCCCCATGGTTGGTTTGTTATTTTCTCTTCTCCTCTAAACTTCCTTCCTCTTCACTTCCTTCCCACAGTAACTAACTGGGGGAATTATCACTAACTATTTAGGGGTATCAGTCACAAAGATTATATAACTTCAAAATGACATGGCTGGCAAATAAATTTAATGAATAAATTAATTAATTAAACTGGCTTTAGCTTTCATGGACAGCCACTTGTCAGAAAATTTAATACCTTCTGAATTTTTCTTTATCGTTGAGGGGCAACTATCAGTTAAGCCTACCTCTAAATGTCAAACAGATATGCCTTATAGATATGGATCTAACCCTGGGTAGTTTTGTCTGGATGGATTGTAGAGTTTGATACACAACAACAACAATAACATGTGTATATTTTATCTGAAGTGCTAAGGAACATGTGGAAAGCTATACTTCTTCTCTCATTCATTAGCTTGCCATTTTAATAATATGGCATAAAATACCAGTTTTAAGGAAGTGTCATGTCTTCCTCCTAGAACCAGCTTTCCTCTCCAATCCATCCAAATTAAACAAAGACTGTTCTATACAAAAAAATATTCAACCTTTGGCAGATTTCCTGAATGTTTGCCTATTTCTGTCACTGACGTTATCGGAGTTTTATTGATACCTAAAGGGAGTCTGTAAGATTCAAAAGCCAAAAATAGCTCAAATGTGGTATTGTGAGTCAATATTATTTTTTCTTTGTCCATCAATAAGAGACATCAACCAAGAACATTGGAACTACAATCCAGCCATCTCCAAACTGCAAGGAATTAAAGGCAATTCTTTCCAGAGGAAAATCTTTAAACCTAGCCAGCCCTACATTTCAGTTTCCAGATGTCTATTTTTCTCTTCCTGAGCATCGTAAGAAATGAGATTTCAGATATGATCAGATGTTACTGCAAACTGCTCCATTTCTATTATTGCTTCCTCATTTTTATCACAGGAAACAATTCAGCACTTCAAGATACTGTTACGTTCCTTCTAAATTTTCATCAGAAGCTTGTAAAGTCAGTGGGATTTCGTAGATAGTTTTAAAAGACACTTACTGATTTTAATGCTGTAGCCAGAAAGCAGCTGGAAATTCAGAAAGCAGCATGATTAATGCTCCATTAACGGCCAGTGAATCATGGAACTATCACTGCTCTCTTCAGTTGTCCTGGCCAAAAAGCAGCATTTCAGAATATAGCAAGACTGTTCTTGCAATAAAACTGGCAAGCCACCGGGGATATTACCAGAACTAATCATACTCTGAAGGAATTCTATCTTTGCAGGTTCATGCTTTTCTTTGCCATCAGTTGGAACAAGCTAGGCTTTTACATGGTGCAGTGGAGATGCAAAGTCCATTCCTCTCTTTAGGTAGAAAATGTGATATTTGTGGGCACCTTCCTTAGTGCCCGTTGGGTTCCTTGATCTCCTGAAGTTAGCAAAGTGCTAGCTTCTTGCAAAAATATTTATACCAGAAGCACTTAAAAAAAAACACAGTGGTGGTGGGTAGCTATAGTTCAGTGCTTTGTTTGGGAGTGTATCTATTTGCATGAACAGAAGTGGAAATCTGGGATGGTAGAAAACATTGTGAAGGGACTAGTCACTAAATGAACTGGTAGGAAGAATCCCACCAGCTGTTTTCTAATAAATTGGCATCCTGTGATTGAACATACCTCCTGTGATGCCAATTTAGTGCACAGATAAGTTTCATGGTAGACATTTTGTGAGAACAACCACAATATGCTCTTAAAATTCCAAAACCTGAAAATTTGAAAATATTCTCTATCTCTAAGCTAGCACTACAGTTCTGTATGCAACACAGTTTATCTTTCTGATCTCAGAACTTGCATGCACTTGTGCCAAGGAAATCTGGATTTTGCGATACTGCATAAATGAATTAGACAACCTAAACAGAAGATTAGTTTGTTTCTTTTAAAGCCTCTTGTTCTGCTTCTGCTAAAAGCCATGCTCACAATCTTTGGAAATTATGCTCATACCTGACTACTTGAATTTCTCCATGTTATGGCTTTGTCTGCACAATGCTCACAAAACTAATCCAAACAAAGGCAAAATTTGAGTTACTCTTTCAAGTCACAAGGAGGTACCCTTTGAGCTTTAGAGCAGGGCTTTTCAACTGGTGGTACCCATACCACTTGTGGTACATTAACGATTGGCAGGTGGTATGCAGCCCTGCCTAGCCAAGTGTAGTGGGGGAGGGAAAGAGCAGGCAAGGACTTACTGTGAGAGAGTCCTCTGGAGCTGCAGAGTGGTTGGGGCAAGGCAAAGGCCTCAGGCTCACTTCTGGCTCACCCTTCTCCATGAGAAAGGCAGTTTGGGTGGGAGAGGGAGAGAGAGAGAAAAGAAGCAGCCTTGGGAGGAGGTGGAGTCAGCTCTAGCTGCACCAAAGGGGAAGAAGGAGGGTGAGGGGGAGAGGAGAGGAGATCAAGCAGGCCAAGCAGGCTGGCCATGAGCCGATCTACAACTTCTGTGGCAGCCATCTGTGCTGGCAGCAACAAACAGGCAAGAAATGCAGCAGGGGAGGGGTTGCCCTCAACGAGGAATGAAGAAAGGTAGCATCAGCTGGAGGTGAGACACGGAGGGAGGGAGATGGAGAGTGGAAGGATTCTTATGTGCTTTTGTGACTTTGAAGTTCTGGGATTTGTGCAATGAGGGCTTTGTGTTCTTAAGGACTATTTGGCAATTTCTATTTGGCTGATGGCTGATCTCTCCTGTTAGCTCAGTGGTTCTCAACCTTTTTAATGCCGCGACCCCAACCGGTCGTAAGTCGAGGACTAAACCAGTCGTAAGTCGAGGACTAAACCGGTCGTATGTCGAGGACTAAACCGGTCGTAAGTCGAGGACTACCCAGCCGGTCGTAAGTCGAGGACTTTCCCTGCCCGGGAGCGCCGCGCATGCGTGGTTCCGCCCCCTGCGCCGGCCGAGGCGTAGCTGGCAAGCGGCAGAGACGGAGCAGGCCGACCACCAGCTGGCCCAGCCCAAGGGAGGTAAGGCACCCGCCAGAAAAGGGGGAAAAATTGGCGGACAAAAAAAATAGCGGACAGCCTTTCTTGGCGACCCCCGTGAAATGGTCGATCGACCCCAAATGGGGTCCCGACCCACAGGTTGAGAACCACTGTGTTAGCTTTTATTGCTCTGCTATTGTTAGCTGTAAGTTTTGCTGCAAGGGATTTTGAAGTATTTTTCTCCTGAATGGATTTTGCCTGTAGCATTCCTTTACTTATGAATGGAGCCATTTGGGGAGGCTGCCTTAGCCGGCAGCCAATACCTACTACATTTTTTTTCTTCCTTAACTTTCCTTTCTAGCCAGTAGCTAATTCTTAAAGGGGAATGTGCCTTTTTAAGCTAGTTCACTCAGCGGCTTGTCTTTTCTGTCTCTGGAGGCTTTTCTTTGTTTGATGAATATATGGAAGAGGGAAAATATGGGGGGGTTCAAATTCTTCCTTCAGAAGGAGGTGGGCATGAGAAAGAGGGAGGGAGGGAAGTTCCACCTTAGCACTTGGCCACCAGCAGCCCTGCCATTGATTTTGCTTGTCAAAAGGTTGCAAAAGGGGATCACATGACCCTGGAACACTGTGACCATCATAAATATGAATCAGTTGCCAAGCATCCAAATATAAATCACATGACCCTGGGACCCTTTTTCATAAGTGTGAAAAAC